TGCTTACAATGAGAAGGGCCTTAAATAAACAGGGTTATTTTCATGCCAAACTGTATGATAACAGAATTATCAACTTTTTTTTACAAACAAAAAGGTGCTAATCTGAAATCCAACTTGCCTATCTTCTTGCCAAGACCATATTTTTAAAACATTTTTACCTAACATTTACTTATGTTCTGAATTCTGATAATGCTTCAAATGCAGGAGTAGGAACTGCTGAAGATAAGGGAGTCTGAAGAAACTTCACATGTAAATATGAGTTTGTGCTTTTTCCCTAATGAAAACAGATCTGTTAAATTGGGTTCCTTGATGGTATTAATGCATAGTCCTTCTGAATCCTGAAATGAGGCATGGCCAGTACATCAAAAATACACTCAGTCATCTTTTCTTACACCAAGTGCTCTCGATATATTTATGGGAACTAAAGGCAGAGATTTTTATATGTGTCTTTGTGATGTTTATCCTTTTTTCCATCTAGCTTCCTGTTTTTCAAGTCAGTAGAACTATATTATATATGTAAAGCAGAGACAGTTTTCAAAGCAGTTTACAATTCTTCTCATTTGAATCTTCACAATACCAGTGGTAAGAAAGTAGTTCCCCAGTTCCCTCCCCAGACTGCAGTAGGGAGGAAAAGTGAATTGCTCAGTGTAGCACAGGAAGTTGGGCACATTGAGACAGAGCGCTCGGAAATTCATGTCTTGAGAACACTAGAATTTTTTCAGTTTCTATTGAATAAAGTCTCCTTTAGTGATGTAGTGTACACTGTGACAGCACCATCAAAACCGCTGTTGCACTGTGGTGTTTAACAGGGAACAGAAAGGATTTTGGCATAGCGTGGAACAGAAGGGTCAGAACCCAAAGGCACGACACAGCTTTCTTGGTGCTAATCAAAGGCAGGACTTGCATTCTAAAAAGGGAGAAAAATACCTTTTGCTGTTTGAAGGCTTTTCTGTCCTGTTAAGATAAACAGCTGCTGCGGATTTCTCTGAATGGCAAATTTGAACTTCATATTTGAACACTACTGCTACACAAATACTAGTTTTAGATAGAAATTGTCCTGGGTAATTTGATTAATCAATGATATCTTATCAGTAAGCCTACGTGCTATATGCTTTTGTGAATAAGCTGCTTTCCTGAGCCATTTATTGGGGGTGGGTGTGTGTGGGTGTGTGGGTTGGGGTGTGCGTTTTTGCCCTTTTACCAATGAACAATGACCAGGTGCTCAGAAGCTGTGTCAGACGTTCATAATGCCAAGTGGTACGACCTATTAAATACTATATATGCTGTTATGGAAGTAGGAGTGTTTCAAAGTATTTGTACATTGAAATTCTGATTGTTAGGCCTTAGTGTTTTATATCTTCAAGTCACTTTAGAACCATGAAATAATTAGTGCTCAAAATATTCCCAAATTAGCACTATCTGCTGATAAGAAAATATGACAGAAAAAACTATTTTTCCAGGGTTCAGGTGGATTTTTCTTTTCAAAGTTTTTTATTGGAAATGGAAATGAGATGCCTATTTGTCTAAATCTGAGGTTTCTCATCTAAAAATCCCAGTCTGCAAATGAATACTGGACTGTGAAAGTGTCTAATGCTAACAGCCAGGCAAGGTCTGGATTTGAAAAGCAGACCACACCTTTGTAAACGCCACGGACAAAACCGGACTGAGCAGGGAGCGTCTGCTCTCCCATCACAGCCACATGCAGGTTCTGCAGCTTGAAGGGTGCTGACCTGGCAAGGGCACCTGGTCCCCTCAGGGAGGCTTCTCCTGCAGCTCTTGGCACCACTGCTTCGCCTTTACCAGCCCCTCTGTACAAGTTACTACTTTTTTGTCAGAGCCTGATTGGGGGAAAAAGGGTTTCTAGGATCCAGAACAATTTGCAGACAATATTTATCCCTGATTGCTTGTACTCCTTTTTCTCCTTGTGGCTGTATTTTTAGATTGAACTGTCTTTACCTTTCTCATTACCATCTTCTTATAAAGACATCAGTTATACTAAATCAAGCTCTCCTGGTCTTATCTTGCAGAATTGCAACCACTTTATCGATACCATTTTAGTATCTTTCCTCAACATCTGGCTACTGTAATTTCACTTAATTATCACAGTGGCTTGAATTCTTCTCCATCCCAACTGGAAATGTGTCTCCCAGTGCAGGCTGAGCTTTCATGATTCTATCAAATTGCACCTGAGTCATCCTCTGACAAACTGTATAACCAGGGTCCTTTTATTATCAATTAACAAGAAATATAGCAAAATACTTTGTTTGATCTTCAAGTGCATGAGCTAATATTTGTACTGTGAAATTTCTTCCCATTCATTTCACCTCCTTCAGTGTGCAGTCTTTGTGTGTACCCTGATCCTTCGCTAGATCAGTGACTCCCAACTTAACATCAATCCCAGCCTCGTAGTGTCTGTGCTTCCGTGATTAATGAAAATATGAAGCAAATTTGGTTACAGGACTGACACATAAGAAATTCCACTTGCAGCTGCCACCCAACCCCCGTGTTCTTTTCAGCGTTGCCTCCCTCCATTCAACCAGTTTCCATTTTTCTCTATCTCAACTGTGTTTTCCATATTTTCCACACTTTCAGTGTATCAGATGCTCCAGATCTATGAAATCTGCCCTTGCTTGCTTGTGGCAGGTCTGGTTCTTACTTTGCTTTCAGCCATGTAAATTCTGTAGACCTAATCTACTCTCTTTACTTGCAGGTTGGCTTCCGCATTGTCCTCTTATTTTCCACTTGAATCTGTTTTTTCCAGCACTGGATTCCAACCTTGCAATTTTACAGCATCAACACAGTTTTTCTTTTCTACTTCAACAGGAAGCCTGCAGTGAAACCACAGCTGTAGCCGACACTGCACAAACAGGAAGAGTTTAGATCGACACCGCCAATTTGACCTGATATCAAAACCAACTTTTCCCTTACAGTTTAAAGTCCTGACTCCTCATCGCTCCATACAAATGTCAGAACTTAAACTGTTCAACAGAAATTAGAGCTAAGGAACTACAGGGTATAACAGAAAAATAAGATCATATCTTCTTTCCTTATAATATAAACCAACTTTTAATAATAAAAACTTCTATCACGTTTTCAGTGAGAATAACATACACATTGCAATGTAAAACAGTGCACAGCGTAAATGTCCTTGATACTCTTCTATGCATCTTTAACATTTACAGTGACTGCGTGAGCGTGGGCCAGGATCCTCCCTGGGCTCTGTAAATCCCTGCAGCTCTGTAGGCAAAGCCAGGAGGGTCTTGGCTACATGTTCTTTTTGGTTTTGGGTGTTCCTACAGCTCTTGTAATACTAGGGGCGCTTTCAGTTGAGGATTCAGTAAAGAAACAGCCATTTACTCTTCAAACAGCAAATGGCAAGAATAATTCTTCCAAAATTAACAAAAAGTGCATTGAAATAAGGACCTGCTCATCTGGCTGCAGTACCGAATGGATACTCAGTAACAAACCTCTATATCCGGCAGCTGGCGATTGATGGGTTGTCCTAGTTCCCTGCAACAGGTTGCTGTACGTCAGAGGAAACAGTTAAGCCATTAAACAAAACACGTTCCTTCCCCAAAATTATTTCAGTCTGTGAGTGAAGAAAAAAAAAAATTAAAAAATTAAGAAAGAAGGTTCAGAACAATCTGCATCCCCAAACTTGTTGTAAGCCATTTTGCGTTGAAGTGTAGATTAAAAAATTTAGGAGACCTTCATATCCAAAAGGAAAAAAGTCTAATTTTAGTTTTTGAGTTGGTTTGGATGTTAGCAAAATAAAATTAAGCCAGCTAAAAAGCAAACAACGTCACAAATAAAACCCCCAAACCTTTATTTTCTAGAATATACATCACTGCAAAGCGCTTCTGGATCTCCTAACCATGTTTTAAATGAGGCAGTCGAGAATCAGAGGAATGGGAAGGTTCCTGTGCACCCCCCTTCTGCTTACACCTGCTACAACAGAAACCCATTAGGGATGGGTGGTCATATTAAGGCACTCACTCCAAAAGAACATTATTTCTGTCCTGAGACTGCTGACATGTTTCAGTTAGTTTCAGCCAGTAATTTGGAAAAAATTACTGTGCTTAGGATAATACTGACAGAACGGAGAACAATTTTTCAAACAAGAAAAAATAAAGTACATTATATACATGATTCCTTTTTTCTTTTAACTTAAAAGCATCCCTAATACATCTTAATAACTGTATTAAAGACTACTTAAATATTGAAAGATTTTAAATAATGTAGATTTTTTTTTCAGTAAACTGGGAGTAGCTGTGTAATTGCCAGCATATTGGTCCCATTTTAAACAATATAATTTTTATTTAAATCTTGTATATATAACAACATGATCCAAACCACATATTCCACTCCACATAAATAAGTATAGTTCTTCTGACCTGTTTTAAAAACTACATCTGTTCAAATAATCAGATTATAAGACTGTATTTTTCCTTTGCAAAGTTTCCTTTAGAATCCTTCACTCCCAATCTCTCCTCTTAAATAGTACTGTATTTCCAGAGTACATAACAGGGCATTAGTAAAAAGAGTTAATCAAAAACCTGAAAGCTACAGTAAGTAAAATGAAGTAATGTTAAGAAGTATTATGGAATGTATATTCTGCAGCATAGAGAGATCGGTTCTCACTGGGCTGAAGTGGGAAAATACTCCGGAAGAAATTCTTTATGTTCATATTTGAATAAACCATAGATTGTGCTATTCATTGTTCAAAAGTGCAGGTCAGTTCATGAGAAAGTGGTGTTTATGAAGCTACTGCTCAAGGACGCTGACCAAAATTATGCTGGCAATTAAATGCATGCCAGATGCTGTATAGGGAGAGAGAGATGCGTCATTCTGGAGTTTCTCTAACCAGTCTGTGTATCTTGAAGTCCACAACTTTTAGGTGGCAGCACAAACAAGTCATCAGTAAAACTGCGATTTCCTGAAACACAACTGTCACTTTTCCAGGCATCTAGCAAATGGCAGTAACGTCCATCTTAGCTCCGTGGTGTTCGTTTCAAGAATTTCTTCAAGAAGTCAAAGCAATACAAGAATCTCTGCTCTTGCTGCAGGAGTTCAGAGGCAGATTCTTGGTACTAGGGTCCAGCACCATCTCCTACTAAACGGGAGCAATCTCTCTTCCTCTCTTGGTTCAGCACCATCACTGTCAGTTAGCGTGGGTCTGCAGGCAGGGCTACTCATGGTTGAATGCTTTCACGATGCTGCAATGGAGGTGCCCCTCTGACCTTTATAAATCCCCATCTGTAGGTGGCTGGCACAACCTATAGAGTCTTTAAAAGCAGGTGAAGAGTACAGTATTAAATATCATAAGGATGACAACATAAAGTTATGGCATAGTGTATGAGAGTCACCTTCTCCTTTATCATTCTGCAAGCTTTAGAGGTAATCGATATCCAGAATATCACTGGTTTTAATTTTAATAATTGCAAATTTAGAAGTGCCACTAGTCATTTATTAACTGAAGTATTTACAATCATTCTTTAAACACTATTCAAGACTTTCCATCACTTCTTTTTAACTGTGGCCCAGTTTGGGTCTTCAACAGTCCATTCCCTCTTCTTCCATTTCTCTTATTTTAAACCCAGTTCAGCATTTTTCCTGAACAAGAGAGTTCACCTCTCATACAGATTGGAATACCAAACAGATAAAAGAACGTATTTGCTTATTGACATGGTTGAACAAACTTTAAAATTAGTGGTCACGTTTCCAGAGAATTTTTTTCGCATCACAAGATTAGCAAACAGTTAAACCTAAGCTCATCTGGGCTGTCATTCGTATATGACTGACTGTGGTAGCTTTTTCTTGGCCTTTTCTACTTTACATTCGAATAAACTCAAGTCTTCTATAACTTCTCTTTCAAGACTGCTAGTACAGAATTTGATAAACCTCACCGCTAGGAAATATAATCCTGAGAATTAACATTAATTCACCAGATCTCCTTTTAACTTTGCTCAGTTTTATTTCACATTATGACAATGGAACCCAGTAGGAACACATGTATCTGAGCTTTATTGCCCTGAAATAATCCAAGTAAATAGTCCTGGAATTTGTCATTGTGATTTAGAGTGTATTCAAAAGAAGAAAAATGCCTCGTATTATGATTTGTTTGTAAAGCTGTTTCTTTTTGAACATAGCATGCTGTTATGGTCATAAAAATGGAACCAAAGTAATGTACAGCCATTAATAAGGCAAAATAACCATGCTGCTAAAATGCTGATGTGTGACACTGGGGACATGGGACAGGAGCCAACACAGACTATTATTTTATTCCTTTTTGAAATAGCAATTACAATCCAACAAAAGGATAAGGTTCTAAATGTGAAATACTGTTCTTTTTAAGGTCTCTGAGAAAATAAACCAAGGCCAGTCTGTTACAGTAAGCATCATCATAGTCTTGAAAGTTTAAAATAATTTCACATAAACATTTTGAGGAGCAGATAGGAAAAAAATTACAAAGAGGTGGGGCTTGTTTAGACTCAGAAGTCTTAATGGGTAAATAAGGTATCAGTGTTTTAAGGAACTCTTCTTGACACTGAACTATTACATCCTTCAGAGGACTCTAGCACTAGCAAATACACTCGCTCTATCTGAATGGATGGCACAGTGCACTTTGTTCAGTACAGTAAGAAAGAAGAACCAGAATTTATTCTTTTTTTTTCACTACTGCTACTAAGGAGATATTTGGTTATAACAAGAACTCCCCAACTGTTAAAGAAACATAAAACCAGCACTCAGATAAAATACATGATACATAATAACCTACCGAGGTGCACACTGTGGCATTTGGTCCATCACTTTCAGATTCTTGGCAGAGATTTCAACCCTTGGTCCCTAAGGAAACAGAGAATTTATGGTACTGACAGTATCGATAAATCATCTGATCCTTAGGGGAAAATATTACAATGGGAGTATGGTTTCTATCTGAGAATCCATTAACTACTTTTAGAAGGTTTGGAATCCATTGGGTGGATACATTAGTCATCTGTGTTTACTTAAAAGATGGAATTAGTCCCAAAGCACTTTACAAGCACTGCTGTCTAGCACTAGGAAATTTCTACTATTTAACACTGTGATTGAGACTTGGGGTTTTTATATAAAGAAATTGTCTTAAATATACCAGATAGTGTCTACTTTCTAACCATCAAGGCACACACTTTAAATCATGTACTCTGAGGCCTATGTTTTAATGGCTGTAATGGCTGTACATGCTAAAGTTAATTTGTTTCTGTCAAATATATGTGTAGCTATTCAGACATTAATAGAAGTTTGGCTATATGGGTTTGTAGTGCCCAAAATACAGAAATAAATTGGTGTTTGTACAATGAGGTTACTGGAATGAGATCGGTGGCATGTAGCAGACCCACATCCAAGCACTTACTTGCTTTCGCATGATGTCTGTAGCTTGCATGATACACTTGGGCAAAAGTCCATGACTGCGAGCCAGAATGGCTGCTTGCTCCAGAGACACGCTCAGCGTACTCCTGAACACGGGAACAAGAGATATTAAATCACATAAATAATAGGTACGTACAGGACACTTACCTGTTAAGTACGACTTCTGTTAGCTAGTGTTCTTATTTTTTTAGTTTTTTTTGACTTAAAAACTATAAAATGACCTGAGTCCTGCAGTTCCAGCCTTGTTACACCTAGATACTGTAGTTGTTTGAGTCTCCAGCATCATCACTACAAGGCTGTCTTTCACTGCTCTTCTGCATTGATTCATATAAAATTATTCGCAAATGAATCCTTTACTCCATGGTTTTGAGACACTGGAAGAACAGTGGTGTGGTCAGAATCAATGTTTGCACACACCAAGATTCTAAAGCTACTTTTGAGAAACTTCCTGCATTTTCAGTGTGTGATTGAAGAAAACATTGAGAGTTATATGCAATGAGATCATGCAGCCAGTTACATTGGTTGATGCACTAGAACATAAAAAAGTTTGTGTGTCAATACTAATTATTAACAGAAGTATTAAAAGTCACAACCTACCCTAAAATAAAGACGGCAGTAGATTTAGGTCCTTATTATATTCCCTTAAGATCCACCTTTCTATTGCTTTGAACAGAATCAAATATATTGCTCAAATCTCTAGAAAGGACAATAGATGTCATCACACTAGTAACACACAGGTTTCTTAAATCTCACCTCTGCATCCCAGTGCCACACATAGTAATCTGGCAGGCTCCAAGTCGGTAACAGAGCTCAGAGGATATAGGCAGCAGGCCAGCTCCTGATGTGTTACTGCTAGAATATCCTGACTGGGTTGGTTTTGTACTAATGAAAGACTTCATCAGCCTGCAAAGCTCTTCCATTGCATTAATGGGGCGAATAAGCTAAACAAAGCAATAAAAAAATGCATCAGTGGCATACTGACTCCTTCAGTCATAAGACATTTATAATTCTTTAGCCTACGTCTAAGCACAATAATCTACACAAGAGTAACTGCCACACAGTAACAACTATTTAGAATATACAAGAACTTTGCAAGTAGAAAAATACAAACTATTACTTAGGCTTGGGAAAATTTTTACGATTATCACATAGATTGTTTACAATGTACAAATGTTTGCAATTGCAAAGACAGTCTCTGATTTCGTCTTCCCTGCAGTAGTATGTAATGCCTTACATGCATATATTCACGTATGTCACCTGCCGCAGTGACAGACTGCCTTTACACGAGATGCAGGGATTATTGCTCTGTTGTTTTCTTCCCTAACTGTGAAAAAGCATAACTTGCAAATTGAATGTTGTTCATTTTTCATGCATCTGTGGGAGAGGAAAATTAATTCCTTCTGTCTAATGTCAGACACCGTATTTAGCAGGGGCAGTTAGGGTGATGTGGAATCTTGTCAGTGCCTAAGTTAAGGGTTTTGTGTCTACCCCAGTTCTGCACATTTTCTTCTAAACAAAAGAACCATAGCCAAGCTTCAGAGAAATTCTGGTCATTTCTTTAGGGCAGGGAACATTTTTTTAAATGAAGTTTGGGTTTGTACAGGTCTGCCATATGGGTATCCCATGACTGGCATTTTAGAGATGTAGAAATAATACTTCTATGAGAAAATTTATTGTAGAAATAAACATAATAACAATACCTGGTCAATCTTCACTGCAGTAGTATTGGAATCAGTGGGCAAGTTTGATCTCTCTAGGTAAAATGTCCTGCAAAAAGGCCAGCAAGGACTACATTCATTGGTGTGTCTCATTTCAAGCACGCATATTTATACTATCTTGTATAAACCATCTGAGAAGGCTATGCTAAAACCCTTGAACTTCAAGATCCGCTTTCTTATCAAACCATTTTGATTGCAGTAATTTACAGAGTCTGTACTACAATATTCAAAATCCCCCTTTTTATGCCATTTTTAGCTCTGCACAAAACTCTGAAGTCAAATTAGATGGAAATTTCACCCTGTATAGTGCACTACGTCAGAACGAGCTTAACTATGAGATGAAAATTAAAAAGTTTCCCACACAATGAGGATCTCCAAAAATCGTATTTGTACAAGAAACCATCGGGAACGGAATCTCTTTTTTATTAAATTTTAAGGTCCTCAGCAAGGAGCGCTCTTTTCAATGTCTTTCTTTTAAGGCAAAGGAGAAGCATGAAATACCTGAGTTTGCGGTAGTATTGCTGCACTTTTTCAAGTGAAATACCATTAATTTGCTGGGGAAGTTCTTCTAGAAATGGGCCAGCTGGTTGCCCCTCCATACTCTCCAGAGCTGAAGAAGAAAACATTTTACTAAACCTATGTTATTAGTTTTCTTTTTATTCATTTATTTATTTACCTCTGTATCATCTCACTGCTTAGCAAATGACTGTTGGATGATGTCAATGCTGATTCTGTTAGTACGTAAATTTAATGCATGTCGCAGTACGGGAATACAGTTGTAGTACTATAAAGGTGAGCTTCACAGAAAGTAGTTCTATCTAACAGCAATTACTCTCCATTAATATCCCCTCGAAGGAAATTTCCTGTATTACTTTTTGGTGTGAATATTTGCTTATCAATCAAGTCAATTTCCAGCCCAGATGATTCTTTCATGGCATATGCTTTTAAAAACACTTCTCTGTAGCCTGGGAACATCTCCAGATACTGTACTAGACCAGGTTGTCTATGCAGTCCAATAGAATGTCTCTCTATGGCCTTTACAGGAAGGCAGAAAAAGGCCCCAAACAGGCATATCTTGTTCTCATGACACTGTCTTGGTCTAAACCTGAGCACTCCCCAGGTCTTCCTAGAACAGAAACATCTGCTTCTTAAAGACATCTTTAGTTCTCAGCTGCATCATGTTATGAGCTTCACAGTCATTCTTTATTTTGAATCTTTCAACATCATCAGTTAGCTTATTTTTCTCAAGAAAGCTTTTAATAGACACCTTTTGTAAAGAGCACCGTGTGCAGTTTCAAGCTTCCCCCATTCTGAAACCGAGAAGGCAGTTTGGAGAAGTAGTAGCTGTCAAGATAAAAGATAACCTTCAAGGCCTGACGACTTCCTTCAATGTGGTAGGAGACATGAGTATCTGGAGAAATAAAGATAAAACACTTGCTTTACCACAGCAGGAGAAACGTGAAACCATTGCTATTTGAGTTTGTTAGATTATTTAATGACATTTCACATCTCCCCCGTTAGATGAACAGGGGAGAGCCTTTACTGAGAGAATGCAGGCTCTGAAATATTATACTTACAAGATACACACTTAGCATGACCTAGCAAGATATTTATTGCATTAGCATCAAACATGGTTAATAATTAAAATCCCATCTTGTTTCATGGCATCTCATAGTAAACATGGAGAGAGGTCTGGCAGGGTGGGACACAGGACACGAGCTGGGGAGGGACAGTCCTTCTGCCTTGGGTAATGTGGTGCATTACAAACATCTGTCGGGAACTGCTCGTCATCTGTCATATCTCCATGTGTGAGATCACACAGGTAAGGTACACTGGCATAGACCACAGTTACAAATCACAGACCATGCCACCAGCATCCCACGATGCCAGTCCTGCTTCATATGCTCTGTGTTTGCAGTGGAAGCTGAGGGAATGCAACAGTGCTTCAGAGAAGTTGCTCAGTGCTCTGCAGGTCTGGAATGGTCTGATAGATTTATAATATTAATTAATCCATAAATATTAATCCATTAATATTAACCCATAAAACAAAAGAGAAAAAAAGAGCTTTAAAGAAACAGAGAATACTCACTTGCTACAAGACTTTCATCCAGCTGCTTGAAATAGAAGGCAACTTTGTCCAGTTCAGTCAGAGTGACCTGGATGTCTTCCAGCATAGTACGCTCCTCCTTCTGTAGAGCAAAGGAACAGATGTAAATAGGTTATAACCCAGCAGAAAGAGATCAATGGCAGGAAGATGTAGTTGTTATGGGCATGCTTTGGTTCAGGAGACCTAGAGCAGAATGTGGAGCTTTCCATTAACTCCATCTCAGTCAGGTAATTACTAACGGCTCTTTAACCTTGTGATACAAGGTGAGCTATCCTTTGCCTAGATGTCATTTGATATGATTCAGAAAGAGTAGAGAGGTTTAAGGACTGAATTAAGTTTGAAAGGATCTCTTTCTCCAAGCTTTACTCTATACCTACAAATGTGAAGAACAGCTTATCAGTTACTGTGAAATAAACGTCCATACATTCCATGCAATGTGAAGAAATAGTAGTTACATATGCATCTAATTTGGATTGTATTGAAAAAAAAAAAACAAACCACGCCACACTCAATCTACAATGTTTACAAAGTACAAAAAAAAATTGCTTCTCTATAGTGTCAGAGCTACTTGTCTTTTTTTATGCTTTTTTCTTTACATTTTTACACTTAGGGTAGCTTATCTACTATAGCTGTGGCTTATGCATTCATTAGGTGCAGATGAACTATGCAAGACCAGCACCTCTCCTTAGACATGGTGCCTCAAATACCAGCACCATGGAAGTGAGAGAGACTGCAGTCTACCTATTCTATAAAAGCATCCAGTGTTTGAACAAACCCCAAGATGTTCATGTTGTCCAAACTCTTGAAATACAACTTTTTCATTTATTTGTTGAAGTGTGTGTTCTCACCAGAAGATGGCAGGCCACACATGCATCACCAACAACTGAGCAGTAAAATCTCCCTAAATGCAGCAGCATTACTCCAAATATGAAGGCAGACAGAGTCCTATAGTGTTCTGGTGACAGTGGGCCCAGTGTTTGTGAGGAGATGGAAATGATGGGATATGGAACATTGGTACATGGTTGTGAGCAGCAGGATTCTCCAGAGGTTGCTGCAGTGAGAGTCTAAACGTGCTGCTAGTATGAGGGGCTCTGGCTGTGCCGAGTGGCAGAGGAGCACACGGTAAGTGTGAGCAGACCCAAGGGTGCCACAATTCTTCATCTTACCACAGCAGAGGAGAGAAGAGACTGGTAGTTTAGTAAAACACCAGTGGCTGCTATCTGTTCCAGCCATTTTCTGCTGGCATCTCTGCTGCTCTCTTCATATTCCCCATTGTTGTTGTATCGATAGTTGAGAGCAGCCAGTAACTGCTCTGAAAAGGTGCAAATAGCAGCCACAAGAGACTGGCAGAAGATGGAATCACGTCTCAGCTGTAGCTCGGTATCTGCCAGAGAAGTGGAGAGAAGCACAAAGAAATCATGAGTATACTTTAATCTCACTGCCAAAGAGGCAGTTTGCATGTGTGTGCATGACATTTGGCTTCTCCTGCAGCTTTGCACAGACTTAACAGATAACCTCTTCTTGCTGTGTGACCTGGGTGTATAGATAAAGACAGCATAGCTTGAGCATGTGCATGTTTGAAAATCTTCTAGCTCACTTGACTGTTTATTACTACCTCTGCCATCTGCATGCTCATTCTTCTGACTGGGAAGAGCTGTAACTCCTTAGTGCCATATCTGGACAATTTCCCTTCTTTTTATGTTTACAGAAGCAAGAGAATCCTTGAAAGAAGGTCTCTGCCATTACTTGCCTCCTGGGCTATTAGAGATTCATCTTCCCCCATCCATCTGTATTTTGTGGGCTTCCCATATGCTTAATGCATTAACTGGGCCTGCCCATACAGTACCAATTGGTTTACGTTTCCTGGGAGAATTTCCCCTGTGTTAACTTGCTTCCAGTCCGCCTGCCAGGCAGCCACATGCCGGTCAACTCAACCTTGTCACGCTTAAGGGGATTGCAGGCCAAAGAGGCACATGAATAAATGAAGAGCTGCCTCCCAGGCACCCTGGGCTCCTCCAGCAGACACTGCGGTACAGCAGGCTCTCATTGTCAAGGCAGCATTCCCCAGAGAAAGAAGCTGAAGACATCACCCAGAGGCTTTGAAGATCTGGATTATTTTTACAAAGCACTGAACACAATAGACCAGCTAATACACTCCAGATCCTGGGCCATATTCTCAACTTAAGGGCAACCAATCCTCGCAGCAGTACCCCTCCGTGCTGTTGGAAGTAAGGCAGAGAGAGCTTAGGACTGCCCTCAAGGCAAGGGAATCCCCAAGGGCCATAAGGCTGCCATAGCCAGTTCAGTGCCATCTGCTCCCCTGTTCTTTCCAGAGATGTTCGTGGACTTGCTGCAGGAGATGGGGCACAGGTAGAGACTTAGGGAGTCATTACATCTGCTGTCAGTAAAAACAGCCTTGATAGACACTAGACTGACACCACAGGCTGGTTTGGACAGAAGACTCATGGACCAGCCCTGGCAGGAGCCGAGAGGTGACTTAGAGCCATACAGATCTCTCATCTTCATTCTATGAAGACTTGAGAATCAAGTCTAGCACAGAGAAATAATGACAGCGTATTCCAGTTATTTATTACTTCATTTTCAAACAAAAGTACACCAAGTAGGTGTTTCAATTAAAAAAGACTCCTGGGAAAGGCTTGTCCCTTGATCTGCGAGAACCATGTTTTCTGCATGCTAACAGATTAGCGATGTCCACAGTGTATTTAGGTGCTGCCTGCACATTCAGGTTCTTAGTCTGCTCCTGGCTATAATTTCAGGATACACAATCCTAATTCCTAACATGCCTGCTCTGTTTGGAAAGATGACAGAGTCCATGGTCTCACAGAGAGTTGTGCAATAGGTCTCATTTTTGCTGCATGTTCTCACCACAGCAGGAAACTGTAAAGGCCATCTGGGAAGGAGGATTGTACAGAGGAAGAAATGAAGACAGTAAAAAGAAAAACAGTGTTTGTGAAACATAAGGGACCAGCCAGGTAATACAAGCAGCCTACAGTGAACTGAAATAATGTAAACTGAAGAACAGACGTCACATGCACGGAAAAGTTGCCCTAGATGCAGAGGACAAGAACCGTTAGCATAGAATGCCATGGAAAAAATGAAATGCTAAGGAAAAACATAACATTCTGATGTATGCCCATGCAGGCACATAAAACTGTATTAGGAACTTCTGTATATATGATGATGTTTTGCAACAAATCAAAACCACTTACCTGTGCATTTTAATAATGCTAAAAGCAGCTGGTTCTTCCCATCTAAAACAGTGAAGAAAAGGAATGGTCTAGTCAACATGACACCAAGGTTAACAGTATCAGCATTTGGTTAACAGTATCATCACTCCCTACAATTCCTGGCCCTCACATAGCATTTCTATTTATTCTAATAGTTCTTACTGGCACAGATGTGTTAATAGCTGAAAATGAAACAAGGTATAAATCAAAGAATTTTACGGGCCAAATGCTCTGTTAACTACCATGAATTACTGGAAACAAATTGCAGATGTTGATGAATCCCTAAGGAGGTGATTTTGTAAACATCAAATTCAGCTCCTGTTCCAGTTCAACCAGACTGCAATGGTTTAGGATGTTGTAGTATCTGATTAGCATTCATTTCATTTTGGAATATACCAAGCATCTCTCTCTTCATTTTCTAAAATGAGTACAGGGAAACAGATCAGTCTGGGATCATTCTGTCTGAATGGGATGATGGGACAGAAAGTTCTTTGGAATTGCTGCACAGGTGAGATTTTTAACTTACCACACTGGGACTCTGCAAACAATAACCTGTTTTACTTGTTCTTCTCTAGAGCCCAATACAGCCTTATTACAAATTGAGATAAAATGATAAAAAGAACTGTTAGACTTGATTAGATCAAGATCTTTTCTTCCTGAAGCTGGTAACAAACTTTTCCTTATTTACAGACCTTCCACATGTTTTTGTATGATTTCAACAAGGTTCTTGATGCGCAATGGAAGGTTCCATGGGTCTTCTTGAATGCTGGCTTGAATATTATTCCGGCACCTAACTGTGGTTTCTTCCTTCTGTTTAAATTCTAGAAAAAAATGGAGTTTGTTAGGCATTAAGGAAATGTTACATAGCTGAGAGTGGCTTATGAGCTATAACGTGTACATAAATGAAAGCAGAGATACCGTACCAATAGCAACAACTGTGAATGAAAAAGGTCCTTAAATAGATCTAATACAGAAAGGAAAAAAAGGCTATTCCTATAATCTCACGATCAGCAGTCACCTAGCATTGTTTTTAGGCTTGTGGACTAAAAGTTAGGTACACGGGTGACATGCACAGTGAAGGGAGCTCTGCACTATCCACAAAGCATAGAATTCCCTTCTGTTTTCTCTGCCTTCAATAATGTGCAGGCAGCTATATCGGGTAGATCCAGAGACTCTGGCTGTGCAGAATCAGATCAAAGTTTTGGCCGCAGCTGTCACATCTCTCAATACTGATGAGAAGATATGAAATATTCTGCTTTCTTTCACCTGATGGAACATAATTATTTAATTATAGAGTAGAAGATTTATTCTGCATGACTTAGCTATGTAGCTAAGCCAAATACCCCATTGTTGGTGATAAAGCGCATAAGCGGAGAAACACAGCAAACCTGTGCCAAATAACTGTCCCTGAACAGAAATGGGATAGCATTCAAATTTACATCCATCACCAAAAGGTGTCTATGCAGGCTATTAAACAGATGCTGTGGTCCAGGATTCCAGCTGAATGTTAGCAGGGCTCATCTGTTCCTTAGTGTGATGAATGTGGGATCATCAGTTAACTTCAGTTAACTAAAAGATTCTCTCAGTGTAATTAACCTAGTTTTAATAAATGAGGCTCTGTTTAAGCAAAATAAAATAAAGGAAGAGAACACAGGGTGTGTGTTATTTCTTCATTCAAACAGTGCATGGAAAGACTAACAGATATTCTACATAAATGTGAATGTGTTTGTGGAGGTGAGTTCATGTAACAGAACTTTCCAGGAGTTATTTCCAGAGCTGGGGAAAAAAAAAAAGGCAGAAAAAGCTTTCTTCTAGAGTTTGCCACCCTAACTTAGGAACAGAGCTTGTCAAAGGTTGGAGCCAGGGGGCTACAGCACCTGAAGTATAGTAGGAACAGTAGGAAACATTTCAGATTTCAAGTGGGAAAGGAAATGCAGCAAATGTTCAGAAAATAAAGTCCTGTGTATTTCAGTGAGAGAAGAAACCACATCCTGGGCCCCAAAACCATTAAGACCAAAGTCTCATCATGCTCCCTGAGGAAAAAGAAAACACAGTATCATTTGTTTGCTCTCTATGGGAATCAGTTTTCAAAATAAGTGTCATGTGAGGATGAGTTTACTCTGGCAATTATCCGTCTGAAGAAAAGCAGAGTAAGTCATTAAGCAAACTCAGGCAGAACCTTGTGGTGCCTCACATCTACAGTGCTCAGCCCCTCATCAGTTTATCAGAGTGCTCACTCACCTTGTATCTGACCTACCTCTACCTTGTACCTTTTGAGATACATATCTGTGTTCGCATCAAAGCACAGATTTGGGGACTTGTGAAAAAGCTGTGAGGTTTCAGTGGCATATAGCAGAAAAGTGTTCCGTGTGTGTCAGAAGGAATTCATGTGAAAATCACCTTTTAAGCTTGCAAAAAATCAATGGTCAGACATGGTACCTGCCGTTAATGTACGACTGGGTAAACTGCATAGTTAAGTCACTCTGTGTGGCCGTATAGCATATGTGCATTCACGTTAAGCTCAAGTCCTAGCAAGTCACATTATTAAATACAATCAACCTTTTTCTTTACCTTGCAAACTGTGGTCCATTGGAAAGTGCTTGGTTTCTTCAAAGGCCTTAGTTATTACAGGTCCTTTTAGAAGTGCATTGATTGCATCAACCTACAATTGGAATGTTTTCAATCAATCAGCATTAGTAAGACTTGCAGAAGAAAATCTGAAGAGAACTCTTGCAGGAAAATGCAAAAGCCATTACACTGTGTTTTGGAATGATTTCTCGTTGACAAACAGCATCAAGACTTTCTGACCATGAACTGGCCTCAAGAGCCTCACATTGCATACAGCATTTTGCACAATGATGATCTACATGCTGATGAGATAAAAGGTAATACAAAACAATTCTCTGGTGCTATACATCTATAAAGACATCTGATCGTTAAACTTGTAAGGACTCTCCTGAGATCTGTAAATGTGATTCATTTAGATCATACAAGGTATTAGAATTCTTCTTTTTCATGAAAGCTTTTTTTCCCCTCAGTCTAATGCCTGAGGTAAGGCAGGTCAACCTTGCTTAAATCACACAAGGCAACTTGAATGTTGACAAAATTAATTCCTCAAACTGTCATACAATATACTTGATTATACTGTACCCCAAAAAGCTCAATAGTTTGCCTTCCCTCAAAATATGATTTCATTAAACAATTGGATATTTCCAAGTTCTTGTATTGACATGAATAAAGAGAAAGCAATTCTGTGTAATAGTAATGCTTTACATACCTGGTTAAAAAGATGTTCCAGACAGCCATGAAGTTTGTCTTGTTTGTCTAAAGGAATCCTCATATCATTGGGAAGCTCATCTCCTAATAAAGGAAAGATGAAAAGCTTTTAACTGTCTTACCAACATAATCTGTGATGAGGCTACAGATGACACAAACACATCTTCAACTAGAGTAGGTGAAAAATTATTGCTGCTTTATCTCTAATTCATAGATCAAAATACTCATGATTTTTTATATAAAATACATATGCAAATTTCCAGTCACTAAAGAAGCTTATCCCTGCCTAATACCTCTTCCATATTCCAAATTTACTGTGGTTCATTAGAAAAAGAACAAATCTCTATCTTTATGTTCTTGTGATCGGTTTTGAAGAAACCACATTTGCAACTTAAACATGTAAGTGCTTATAATCAGCAAAGACTTATCATCTCTAGTCAGGGGGTCTGGTATGAAAAATATGCATGTAACCTATGCATGTACTCACCTGATCCCATCTCATCACTGCCCAAGTAAGAGCTGTTACTCCGCACACTGGTGTACGACAACACTGAGTCTCGGTTACTGTTACACTCACTAGAAAGAAAAGCAAAGAGGGTGTTGAAAAAAGCTGTCCTTATACCCAGTCACTGATACACTATCATTCTCGTTTTATTAACACTGCAATCTCCAAAACTAATTCTGTTACACACGTACAAAAGAAAAACTAATTAATTACATGCAGAACAACTATTAAGCAAGGCCTCTGGGGCTGGCACTGTAAGAGGATGTCTTTTTCCATTTGTAGTGACCACTCAATGCTTAATATATCGCCTGGATCCTATAAATAATGAAAATGGACTTCCCACCATGGACCTCATCTGGGTTGCATCATTAAACATGCTCTATGAGCATCAAGTAGGGGAGAAATAATTAAAATCTACGAGATTGAATCTCCACTCAACTCAACATTTGTTACCAATTCTTAGGATATTAACAGCATCCAGCTCCAGCATACATTGAAGCTGCAGCAGCACAGATACTGGAGATGGGAGAGGAAATGTAAGGAATCTATACTATCGGAGAATCAGGCACTGCAAATCCTAAAATTATCTCAGGAAGCAGAGGAGTCATTACAGTTGGCTTCACCCCAACATTGGCTCATGCACACATGGAAAATTCTAGTATGAATCTTCTCTGTTCAAAATTCACTTTACACTAACTGAAACTTAATAAAAGTAACCAAAAAAGGCCACGGGTCTCGGTCTGTCCCCCTCCAACTAAGCGACACAGTGTTTTTAATGGTACAAGCCCAAAACAAAGCCTACAAAATTCTCCATATTGTCTCTTCCTCTGTTTTTATTTTAGGCTGAGATGAGAGAAAAATATAAGAGCAATTGAAAGAAGCCTAACCAGGGTTGTTGTCTGCCCTTTGTTAAACCTATTATCAAAGCAATTCATTTTTTTCTGAAGAGGATTAATACTTACGGCAACTACTCTGTAGTACAAACCCTTAGGAAATTTGACTTACACCTCCAAATGATCCTGGAGAAAGAAGCATGGCTAATGCAAACAAGATATTTTCTCATCTGTAATTTGCTTATTTTTTGTAGCTCCTCAGTGGGTTTTTTCAGATCAAAACCCATCAAAAGACATTTTATTGCCCCTTGAGTAACTATTATCTGTTATGTATGCTTAATTCGCTGCCTCTGTCTAATAAAGATAAGGCAAAATAATCTTTCTCATCTTACATTTATGTGTAAAATTTTGGAACAAGTGACAGACCCACAGAGACTGTTTTTGATGTCACTTTGTTACGCAGAATAGATTAGCCTCAATTATAGAAACCATTTAAACTAAACAGTGTTCATAAATGGGATTTCTATTAACAAGGAAAGAAATACAGCACATTTCAATAAAAGAAGATACTCAGAAGGCTGGAGCAGCTCTCCTATGAGGACAGGCTGAGAGAGTTGGGATTGTTCAGCCTGGAGAAAAGGCAGCTCTGGGGAGATCTAATTGTGGCTTATCAGTACCTGCAGGGGGCCTACAGAAAAGCTGGAGAGGAACTGTTTATCAGGGAGTGTGGTGACAGGACAAGGGGGAATGGGTTTATACTAAGAGACGGTAGCTTTAAATTAGATATTAGGAAGAAATTTTTACCGCAAGGGTGGTGAGGCACTGGAACAGGTTGCCCAGAGAAGCTGTGGAGGCCCCATCCCTGGAAGTGTTCAAGGCCAGGTTGGATGGGGGTTTGGGCTACCTGGTCTAGTGGAGGGTGTCCCTGCCCATGGCGGGGGGGGGGGGGGGGGGGGCATTGAGGTCCCTTCTAACCCAAACTATTCTATGATTCTATGATCTTTGAGGTCCCTTCCAACCCAAACCATTTTATGATAAAAAAAATCTTCAGAGCACATGTGCAGATTTAAATCTAGCACAATAAATAGATGCCACAGATCTCAACATTGTGATTGCTGGTTTTGTTTCTTTACCGACTTCATATTTGCTGTCCTTGGAGATGTTCACTATTCAACTGGACAAGACCCTGACCAACCAATCTTGTTGGACCATGTGAGCTCCAGAGACCCCCTTCCGATATAAACTGTTCTGAGTCTGTCACTTCTGCAGTCCTGCATGAATGTAACATCTTAGTACTTGTACTGGTATAAAACCAACAGAAAGTAAAGAATCAGGCCTGTAGCATGGAAGTTTCAAAGACACGTCATTCATTCAGGTTACTCTAATCCTCCCAACTCACTGTAAAGTGTCTTTACGCCTTTGTATACACAAAGTCCTATGGCCTTACTATAAATGTAAAAATGGCCTATTAAGGATGTGAAATTGCAATGGTCAGACATGTCTGCAACTTGTTATTCCATTTCTTCTGAAGTTGAGTTTCCATATGTTTCCTCCCAAGACAGACAGATTTGGAGTGTGTGAGATTTCCTTTGGTAGCAAATATTCCTGGAGAAGCAGCAGTCAATCATGTCCCAAAACCAAGATTTTGAGACACCTGAATAAACATTTGCATTTGTGGTTTCAAAGGCCCATTAAAAATAAGAAACCTCAATGTCCATTTCTGTTTCTCAGTGTCTTAGACTTTGGGGAAAATTATTTGCAGAACTGAATAGAAACATCCCCTTAGAACAGCGACTATTGTAAGACCAAGCAGTTTGCAAACTCTGCTGAGCTTCTGTAATTTCTAGCTATACGAGATAGAAAGGGAAAGTCACACTAGACCTATTTATTTCATTTTATCCAATTTTCTTGAAGCATTTGTATTCTGCCATTGTTATGAGAAAAGGTTTTTCCTGTGTATGTCTCCACGGTAATAAATGTAATAAAATAAGTATAGCTTGTGAATACTTTACTAAGTGACTACAGAATAATTGACTGACTGGCAAATAACCTGCTTGTGGAATCCATACCTGGATTAGAACTTCCAAAAATTATATTAGTAAGGTAAAAGCAGCACAATCTTCATACTAACCTGTAGGAGTCTCTGAAACTCATTGTGTCATGTCCAGAGTCTTCCTGGTCCTCCTCAGAAACTTTGAAACAGACCTTCTTGATTCCACCGTGCTCAGCTTTGTCAGGATCACTCTCTTCTGTTCCCAGGGAAGGTGGAGATGTCTCCTCAGTAGATGGTGGCTCACAGGCACCACCTTCTGTAGGTTCTGTTATGGTGGACAAAAGTCTGCAAAAGCAGAACATACAGCTTTCAAGGACTGGTGGGTAGTCTCACAAATCAGGTATAATGACAAAGGCTGGAACTCAGCTATGTGAAATCAAAAGCAACTGTGCCAGCATTTCACGTAGGCTACAGCTATGTAAAATTGCGAGCTCTGAAAGGGGTTCATTGAAATCCATGAACCTCAGTTCACAAAAGGTCCTGTTTCTATATATTCCTATATTGGAATAAATAGTAAGCAAAACAGTGGCTGTTGAATTCAGGTAGAGTTTTAGGAGCAAAGGACATTAATTTTTTACATTGGTGAATCTGCACAGGAGTAGGTTTGACAGAACCAGCAGGAACTGTAATGCAAGTGCTTGTGTGAATACGAGAGTGTAAGAGTATGACAGTCGGGGTGACAGGCACAATGTGTTTCTGAGCTTCATGTCTCCATTTTATCCCTCTGCCCTCTGCAGTGCGTACAGTATTCTTTACTCACTTATTTATCTGAATGACATATTGCTTCATTTCCTTCACTGCAACGTCAAGTTTGTTAAAAAGGTGCAAGTATGAGTCCTGTATCTCCCGATCTTCCAATTTCAGCAGAAAACTGAGTCCCCTTTCTTCCTGAATTGTTCCTCCATTCTGCTGGCCAAAGCTACCATCAAGATCTCCATCTTCCGGGGTCAGACACCTCCAGGATGGTGCAGCCATAGTGGTGATACAATGTTGAGTGTATGAGACTGGATTTAAGGTACCTACTGAACATTGAAGGGTGTAGTTAGTATGGCTCTCATGATTTTCCCCACTCCATCCCAATAATGACAGTTTAGGATAGGTGGAATTTTAACAGGGGAAAAAAAAAAAAGTTCACAGAATTATTTTATATAATTACGTTCTATGACAAATGCACTCTTTTTTTTTAAAAAAAAAGAAAAAAGAGAAGGTGGGTTTTTTTTCCTGGCATGCCAATTAGATGTCTTGAATTTAGTGAAGTCCAGAAGCAGGTTAAATTATGGAAGTGAAGACAGCAAATGTCCACACATATACTCATACAGACAACATGGATAGTACCTAAACGCATTTGTTGAAGTGTTAATGAATTCAGGTTCTCAGGAGTTGGTCTTTGTTATTATTCCAGCTTTACAAACATTTACACAGACATATACATGTATATATATGAGAAAAAAGAATAGATAAATAGAAAAAAAAAAAGAAATAGATAAATAGAAAAAAAAGAAAAGAAAAAAAAGAAGATAAATAAAATTCCTTTTCATTTAAAAATGCTGACATTTTGGTATCGTACTTTGCTAACCACCTTAGCTTGCATTAAAAATACTATGGAATTTTAATATCTTCAAGTTAGCAGGGCTTCTTTATTGACCTTATTCTGAACAGGCAATGCTGTTCTTCAGAATATTGGTTAGTCTACACTTCACTGTGTCTCTTCCAAACATTCCTGCACCCCGACCTTCACAAGACAATGAATCAGAAGCATATTAGGTGACATCATGATGAAGAAATGTTGGAACTCAAATAATCAGGTTGTAGGACAAATGCTACGTAGCAGCTATTTATAAGAAATTAGATCCCCCTGACAGCGTAGAGACTTTCAGCTCCAATGCATGGAATTTATTTAGTAAGGGCAAAAGAAAACAGCACTGCAATCTGATTGACTTGTGTTTTCTCCCTGAACATAGCCTCTCTTCACAGCACCAGCACTACTATTAGCCCCCATTCTTTTTTCTTTTAGTCTGTAAGTCACCTCTACAAAGTGCAAACAATACTGCAGGACACTTAATTATCATGAGATGACCTCACTGCTTAGCTAGTAAAAACATTTGACCTGAAGCCTCTCTATGCTAAAGGCATTACTATTTTACAACACAAGCAGGCTGTCATTTTACTATAAAATTTTAAGGAGGGAAAAAGGGTACTGGCAAGACTGCATTTCTCTGGAGCGAATTTTGACCTTACTGAGCAGTGGAAAGACACAACATTTTATGCAGATGAAATCAGTATGATTTGAAAGTTAATTATCACCTTGTTCTGGATCAAGACCAATAATAGAGGGCTTCCGTCCAATGCGAATGCTGAACGACCTCCCTGCTGAGGTAGTGTTTTTGGGGTATGATACCTCCATGAGGTTAACATGGCAGTTGGTGGGGCAGAAATCCATGCTGTTGAGGGAATGGGGTTCCATGATGGCTTGTTTGAAGGCTGGGCTCACCTTTGTTTTCAATTCACCTGCAAACTGGGAGAAATAAAGCAAGCATGTGCTACTTCATTTGCAAAAAATTATGATGCAATACAGACAATCCTTTTCTCTTCCTGCCTCCTATTCCAGAATCATATGATTTCTGTTGCAGCTGGAATAACACATTAAAAAAAAAAAAAGCTCATAAAACAACAAATGAAAGCAATTAGCTATACCTTCTAGGATTCTCTTTTCAAACAGCTTAGGTAACTGCACAAGAAAGCACTCACAGTTTGTTTACATTGTGATACACTATATACTACTTAAACTATATCAGTTAAATCAGACACTGATCATTCTGTTGTCATATTTATTCATTGAAATTGTAGAAATGAACCTGCAATATATGTTATAACCCACAGCTCTGACAAACTGAAAGGAGCAATTTACAGATAAGGTCATTTTTCCTCAGAACTTGCAACTTCAGTAACTTGCAGAGCTATTTTCATGCCTCTAGGATGCCTACCTCTGAAGCAGTTCAGATTCATTAATAAATACTAAGACCCAGTTATCACAACGAAGTATTGTCTTGAGACTTCACCAATAACTAGTAATGTTGTACCTCTTGGTAGTTTGTGAGCCTTCTGCTAATGCTTTCCAGCTTAGTGTCACAGATTTGCCGGAATTCATACTGGGGCATAGTGGCCACAGCACTGCTTAGGGATATAAGTCTTCTGCAGTTCCTTACAAAGTGATTGTCCTCTGCAGCAAAGGCCTCTAAAATCTAAACAAAAAGACAGGATGTTAATGATATGAGATTTAACAGTGAAGGAAAATACAGTTTTCTTCCATCGAATAAGTGGCAAAGCCCCCATGTTGTCATGGTTGAATGAAGCTGCCTTCAGAACAAGTTGCCTTTATTACCTACTGCCTGAGAACGAGACTCATCCAGCCTATCAGATGGGAAAAAGCTGCTTGATTTTCTTCCAAGGTAAAGCACATTCTTGTCTGAAAAGATTAATCTTGAGTATCAGCAAAGAGTATGTTACCAGACAGATAAAAGTTGAGAATTCCACAGCTGAGGGCTCCCTTCCCTCTACGTCAACAGCTGAAATCCTGAAAGCATACCAAACGAGCTATTATAACTTGGTGCATTCTAATGAAGAAAACTCCAGGCAGGGTTGAGAAGACCACGTGCTACATGATCCAAAGAGCCGAGCCAAACCATGAGACAAATGCCTGTATTACTTACTGGCTTCCCTGTTCTGTTTAGGAATGAAGCCAGACATGTATGTTTTCCGGTACCTTTGCAGTGAGATTGAAGCAACCTTTTGGTTCCACAATTTTCTCCAGGACAAAGGATTTGATTCCTGCGCTGCTGACATATTCGTACACCACCCCGTGCTCCAGGTGGGTGTTATCCACAGTCAGGCTGATGAGAGGTGTTTCTTCAGCAATGATCAGTGGAGGGATGATGGTCTGTGGTGTCTGGGCTGGAATCAAAATAGGTCATTAGAGGTGTTTGGCAGCACATATGAATACAAGCACGCATAGGGAAGAGAAACCTGTTGAGAGGTATTATTAAATGCAAAGACACAAAGACACAACCTTTGGCTCAAGGAGTCTCTGAGCCACAGGCTGCTAGAGGCTGGGAGAATATTTTGAGGAAGATATTTGCTGTTGGCCACTACTGGAGACAGTGACAGAGATTTAGACAACCCACGTGCTCCAATCCACATTCTGATGTTCTTCCATATGTGCATGCCCACAACCATGCACAGGACAGTACCTTTAGTTCTGTTCAGCTTTCAGAAGCATAGACCCCAGCAGAAGATTACAAAGGAAAGTGAAGTATGTTAATCGCAAAGTCTTGTTTGTAATGACCCTTTGGAAGACTGTTGCTTTTCTGTCTAATTTGGGGAAATGCTCCAGTTGCATTTTCTGTGCAGCTGAAGACTGGGATGGCAGGGGAGAGGTGGGGTGAGAAGACAGCATTGCTGTGTGTAAAAAGTGTTATGGTCACCAGAGAGTAGATTTAAGTTACAGTCAGACCGAGATTTGCCAGAGAATTGCTCCCAGCTGTTCCACGTGGAGATGCACTGTCTGACCATTAGATTTCCATGCCTTAGATGGGATCCACACAGACGTGCATCTTTTCCTGGAGAAGTTGCCAATGGCATTCAGAAAGTCCAGGCTCAGTCCTTTGGTTTGAATCTGGCTTCACTATTCTCTCCTAACATCTACTTTTCCAAGTAAGCTCTCAACATGAAGGTAAAGCAGTGTTTTTTATGAGTTACACTTTTCTAAGTTCAAGGAAATACACCCACATCTTTTGCTGACACAGTGGTAACATGCTCTGAAAACCTGCTCCAGATCAAAGTCATTTAAAATCTTGATCTTTAATCTTAAATCACAGTAAGCACAGATTATTCTACTCTACGTGGAGTTACTTGCAGACCTTCCCTCTCCACCTGGTACTGCCCATAAATTCCTGGTTTGCAGGGGCTACCAAATGATTCTAAAAATGTTGAGCCTTTTCATTCCAGAAAATGGCTATCTTGTAAAGATCAGAGAGTCAGTCATAGGGCTATGATTTCTATGTGTAATGCAATTTTTTTCCTCTCCTGAATAAACTTGTTTGGGTTTGCGTGGCAAGGTTTTTGCAGAGGGGGTGCTACTGGGTGGCTTCTGTGAGAAGCTGCTAGAACCTTCCCCTATGTCTGATAGAGCTGATGCCAGCTGGCTCCAAGATGGACCCGCTGCTGGCCAAGGCCAAGATGGTCAGCGATGGTGGTAGCGCCTCTGGGATAACATATTTAAGGGAAAAAAATTGCTGTGGAAACAGCAGTGGAGAGAGGAGTGAGATGTGAGAGGAACAACTCTGCAGACACCAAGGTCAGTGAAGAAGGAGGGGGAGGAGGTGCTCCAGGTGCCAGAGCAGACATTCCCCTGCAGCCCATGGAGAAGACCATGGTGAAGCAGGCTGTACCCCTGCAGCCCACAGAGGGTGATGGTGCAGCCCACGGAGGACCCCATGCCGGAGCAGGTGGATGCATGTGAAGGAGGCTGTGACCCCATGGCAACCCTGCGCTGGACCAGGCTCCTGGCAGGACTTGTGGACCCGTGGAGAGAGGAGCCCATGCTGGAGCAGGTTTGCTGGCAGGACTTGTAATCCAATGGAAGGGACCCATGCTGGAGCAGTTTGTGAAGAACTGCAGCCCGTGGGAATGACTCACGTTGAAGAAGTTCTTGGAGGACTGTCTCCTATGGGAGGGACCCCACACTGGAGCAGGGGAAGAGTGTGAGAAGTCCTCCCCCTGAGGAGGAAGGAGCAGCAGAGACAATGTGTGATGAACTGACCACAACCCCTATTCCCCATCCTCTTGTGCTGGTGGGGGGGAGGAGGGAGAGAAAATCATGAGTGAAGTTAAACCCAGGAAGAAGAGAGGGGTGGGGGGAAGGGATTTTTAAGATTTGGGTTTACTTCTCATTATCCTACTCTGATTTGATTGGTAAGTTAAGTCTGTTTTGCCCGTGACAGTAATTGGTGAATGATCTCTCCCTGCCTTTATGTCGACCCACGAGTCTTTCATTATATTTTCTTTCCCCTGTGCAGCTGAGGAGAGCAGTGACAGAGTGGCTTTGGTGGGCACCTGGCATCCAACCAGGGTCAACCCACCACAAAACTGCAGCGTAAGAGTACTTCCTGTGGCAGACCTCATTCTATTATAAAGCTTTACTAAGACAACAGATACTCTACAATAATAATTACACTTTATATTTCTACTGCAGTTTTCTTTCCTGAAGCCCCTGAATCTTCCCTAGGTTTCCTTCCCTCATGAGAATTCCTGCTGGCTATTTTGAAGGGAATCCAAATCTGCGCCTCCTTCCATGGAAGAGTCTTCTTTACTGGAGCCAGGATGACTGCCATTCAGATATGCAGTGGATGCTGCTTGCTGAACCCTGTCCTCTTCAGCATCTTCGTGTGTTCTGTACACCCACTGGTACAATCCCTTTCAAGAGATATAGGCTTCAGCTATGACCTCAGTGAAAATGCTCAGTGTCTACACGTTTGGACTACAAAGGTGAATCTAGCTATCAATTTTATATCTTCTAAGTTGGCTGAAATATCAACATTCCCCCAGCTTTCCTCTGAACTTCAGAGAATATAAAATCTAGATTGATATCTGGGTGAAGTTCTAGTTTTAGCAATAGTTAATAATATTTAGCACAGAAGAAGGGGAGGACAGAAGGAGGGCAGGAATTAGTGTACTTCCTCTGAGGATTTGTATTCATACCAGCGCTTCCTGTTGTCTGGTCCTGTAGGCTGTAAAGTGCTCCAGAACTTCCACATAATTTCCATGTGTTGCATTATTCCCATTAACTTTCAAAATACACTGCCCTGGATGAAGGCCTACAGCTGCAGCCTCAGAACCTGAAAAATCAACAGAAGAGGAGTTAGACTGAAAAGCCATCTGACTATGGAAGAGAAAATTGTAAAGTTTATAGAGGGTTTCTGGTTAAGACGAGTAAGAAGAAAAAGCTAGTTGAATGCTGTCATGCTTTTGCTACCAAGTGTTCTGAGAGCTTTGTTGTACAAGGAAAACATCATGCGTCTACCCTTCACATTTACAGCAGTGTTGGGAAAAACAGAGACCTCCTAAGACCTAAATGCATTCATGCTAGAAATTGAAATTCCTGTGGGAAATCATTTGGGATTCTTAAATGGCTTTTCTAGCCTTATGATTACATTAGCTGAGGTCTTGCTGAAATGTAAACAGTTTTATTTGTTTCAGCTTGTTGCACTTGAAAGACACAGAACACTTGCATGTTATGCAATTTGCTGTGGTCTAAGAAAAAGACTATGATGTACTTAAAACTAGAGTAAGCCTAGAGTGCAATAACCAGCTTCAATGGATGTATTCCAGATTCAAGTGAACAAGACTCAGACTCAAATCCAGCTCCTAGAAATCTAGGTTAAGGTGATTAACTTTTTTAAGGCATCATCATTTAAAATTCATACAGTATTATTCCAAATGCAATTTGTCTTTTGCTAGCAAAATCCTGAAAAAGGAGAATCTCTCTAGCTGGCACTTGTAGTCCACATTCTTCAGATTGCTAAAAAGTGGTTA